AGGTCCGGGGGTGGGCAGGCGGGGCTCGGGTAGCGCCGCAGGTCCTGCTCGGGTCTCTCCGGACCTCCCGGTCGCTCTCCTGTATGTTGGCCGGTCGGCGGCTGAGCCGGTGCGTTACCCGGGGATATCCCGGGATGGCTGCCTGCTCCTGGTTCACACCCACAGACCCACGAATTTCCTCTAAAATGCTCCAGTTTTCCCTGCCTGAGGTGCTGGCAAACCTCGGGCACCTTGCGTGCGGGTCGTTGTAGCTGGAGAGGAGAATCTGGCGTTTTGGTGCGAGGGACCTTCAGTATTTCAGTAATTGTTGGTTTCAAACTTGGTTTTGATGTGCTGTTGGAGTGACTGCCTCTTGCTACAGAGGGTCCTGTAGCGCCAGCCTAACCTTTCTGTCTTTCCCCTGCAAGTGTTTTGGTTGGGTATTCCGTCATCATGCAAGATACTGCATGATTTTATGGGTACTTTTCAAAAATAGGTTTCAGGTTGTTGATAACGCTACAGTAAAACGTTCTTCCTCCTAGGAGTGTCATGTAACAGCTTAACGTTTTCGTGTGAGAACAGAAAATGGCTTCAAGGGGAACATCAGAGACCAGTAAACTAAAACAAAACTTGGAAGAGCAGTTGGATAGATTAATGCAGCAGCTTCAAGATCTGGAGGAATGCAGGTAATAAAAAGAGATGCTTTCCTCATATATGGTAATATTTTTCCTTAAATGGTAGGCAGAAGAAAGTAATGCTTTTTAAAAACCCAGTATTTTCTTGCTTTATTTTGTGTTTTGCTATGGCTTTATATTTTTTAAATTAGGTGGAATGTTTATTTTAGATAATAAAAATTAGGTTTTAAAACCCTTTTCTTTGTTAAGATCATTCTATTTATAGTTATAACCTTATTGAGGAAAACGCGAGTAGAAATACTTGTTAAAGTGTTATTTAAAATTTTATACTTCAGTATGACTTTGGGACTGTTAATAGCTGTTAACAGAATTCATGGTTTCCATACAGGCTTTTTTATAGAAGTTAGCAAATAGTTTTTGTGTCGTTGTTTTGTCTTATAACAATGGATATTTGGGTTGATTTTGTGGGGTTTTCCTTATTTTGTCTGAGCTCTTACTGTGACTTTTTCAATGTGGTGATGTGTTAGTTTTTTGTGGGCTAATAAAACTGAAGATAGGCTGAATTACCAAGGAAAGGATGTTTTCCTGTTCAGTACTTGAACTTAAACATCCTGTGTGATTTTAGATGCTTTCTCTGACAATAATTCTAACTTGTCCAAGAAATACTTTTTTTTTTTCCAAGAACATTTATAATTGTTAAGGCTTGGTAGTGCTTTTCTTTTACTTGGGCAAGGTTTAGACAACAGGATCAGTTATTCCTGAACAATGTGATGGTTTTTGAGTAAGAAGATAGGCTTTTCAGGTAATTTCATTTACTATACCTTTGAGCAAGGCAACCTCATGTTTTATTTTTGTTGAGATCCAAAATACACTTTTAAATACCCCACCAAGTATCTTGTAGCTCTTGGGACCTTGTTCATACAAGTGAATGGGTGGCTGGGATCTGGTGCAAAACCGAGATAACTACGTGTGCATTAGTTAGTAACAACTAAGAAGGCTGGAGCAGAACAATCTGAAGTGATGGGAATGTGCTAATTGCTGAGGCATCAAGCTGCGTGGTGTTCCCTTGTGTCCTTTACTCCATATTACATCTCAGGTTTAGTCCTGTGAATTAATGTGTCTTGTTGGATCCGCTTTAGAGAGGAGCTTGATGCAGATGAGTATGAAGAAACCAAAAAAGAAACTCTAGAACAGCTGAGTGAGATCAATGACTCTCTGAAGAAGATAATGTCTGGAGATATGACTTTGGTAGATGAGCTCAGTGGGATGCAACTGGTAAGGGTGATGTGTTACTAAAAATAGTTCTCATTCTGCTTGAACTAAATGAAACAGAAAATAGATACAGGTTGTTCATTGTAACTTAGACAGGTACATGCGAAAGCTTATTCTGTGACTCTGCTGTTTTTATTATTTAATATGTGTGCACACATAAAAACTTGGCCAGGTCTCTTTATATGAATTTTTTTTTTTTTAATATTGAAGAATTATAACCATAACACTGCAGGAAAAACTGTGGGAAACTGCAGTGACAAAATCTATCAGATCCTTAATTGTAGAAAATAACACTTGTGATGTGCTGATATGAGGAAGATACTGGAAATTATTAGAAATTAAGGACTGTACTGTAATTTAAAGTTTCATAGCTTTTTCTGAGTGAAATTGCCTTAATTGCTGGCTTTTTCAAGCCTTGTGTATAGGTCATGTATATGTTAGTCTCACTCCCATGGTTATACAAAAAAAGAAAAGCTCTCTTTATGAAATGATGCAGCAGATATTAATGGTGCTTTCCAGCCTTCTTTAATCTTCTCATGCAGCTGTAGCTTGTGACTGTTAATCCTAATCATTCTTGCCCTTTTCCTTGCAGGCAATACAAGCAGCCATCAGCCAAGCATTTAAAACTCCAGAAGTAATTAGAATGTTTGCAAAGAAACAACCAAGACAATTGAGGACAAGGTTGGCAGAGGTGAAGGCTTCTGTTTTACTGTAAAAACTGTTATTTGAGCTAAAATGTAATAAAAAATGTAATGATTGCAAGGAGAACACCAGGCATGTTAGAAACCTTGGTGACAACACCAGAAGGAGCTGGAGAAGTTCTCTTTCAAAATCTGTTCAGTTTTAAATGTTCCTTGAGGTAATGGGGACAACAATGTGTATTTCTTGAATTATCTGCTATTTTGCTGCTTCAAACCAAGAACGTGATTAACAGATAGTGAACTGAGAATAACTGCAAAGAGAAAATCTGAAGAATGTGTATTTATAACTGTATTGAAGGGCTGGAGGGGGCATTCAGTGTTCAGAGATCTGGACTGAGCTTGAGATCCAGATAAAGTGAAGTGGAATGTGATTCCTCCATGTGTCAGTGACATGTGAATCCATCATTTTGAATGAATAGCAGTCTGACTGCTTCAAGCTGGGAGGAATCAAGAATGCTGAGGTTAGTCACAAAGAATTTTTGCGGAATGGTCAGAAAAACTTCATGGCCATCTTCTATGGTCTATGCCTTACTTCCATGGGTACCACCATGCTTACTGATGATATTTTAGGCTGCTGCATTATTTATGCAATTTTATTCAGTGAAACTAGTGGGCAGTTTATGTATTTTGACTTATTTATTTCCCTGGTTATACAGATGGACCGAGACTTAATGGTTGGGAAGCTGGACCGAGAGCTACACACACAGCAGAAAGTGGAAATCCTGACTGCCCTCAGAAAGCTTGGTGAGAAGGTAACGTGTTGGTATGATAGCTGGGTGAATAGAAATGTATGATCTCTCTATTGAAGAGGAATTTGAAATTATTAAAATAAGAAATTAAAACTCTTATGAGCAAATAACCAAGTGCAGCTTGCTTTTTTAATATATAAATGTCCCTCCATTTTAATACTAAGCTTTCTGAAGCACTCACTACTGAACGTGTATCAGATAGTATGGTACATTTATCTAAGGCTATTCCTACTTGAAAATGCTTTCTTTAGTGGGTCATGTGAATGAATCATATGTAAGCTGGTACAAATCAATGATAACAGCTACAAAACAAATCTTTTACTGGCTAACTACGACCTGTCTACCTGGCAGAAACTATCCAAGACTTTTGACATACATTGAGCTTTCCTTATCTTTTTATTGGTGATAATACCTATCTTGTGATGTAAGATATATAAATTGGAGAGGTGAGCGATTAAACTGTTTCCCCAGCGAGTATGTCAGTGCTAGAACAATCCCTATTTTTTACCACTAGAGGGACGAAGAGAAGTTAGTTCTGTTTTTGTGGTCTACAAAAGGAATGGGTTGCTGTGTATCTCTGCACCTAAACTTTCTTAGGAAGTGAGGGAATGTAATGGGAAAGATCAAGTGCTGTACTTCAAGGAGCTGCATTCCAAGTAGATTATATTAGCAATTGCTGTTAAGAATATTTTTATTGTGTGACTGTCAGAGGGAAAAAAAGTGTTGGAAACAGGTTAAAAGGTTAGTAATTGTGAACCAAAGGCATGAAAGTATCTGTCCTGGCAGGAGTTCCTGATCATTTCTGACAATCCACTTCACCACATTTTGACATAGTTCCTCTAGCTTTTAAAGTGATCAGTAACCTACTTCACAGGGAAATTGCTAGGATAGTAATTTCACATTGGTTCTGAGTGTGTAATACAATCATAATATTACATGTTTGTGTGCATAAGACTGCAAAATGATAACAGTTAGATGCTTGCTTACAAAGTACAGCAAAGGGGGGTAACTAATACTTTTTCTTTCATTCCAACGTAATTCTGAATGCCTGTATCTGGTTTTTATATTTTTCATAAATAAACTGATGTAAACACTCTGGAGAGTTTGACACACTTAGCTTTGCTTTGATAAAGCTATGTATATATATCAGAGGCTACTTAAATGAGCAAGTTTTAACTTACAATATCTGAACCTTCCAAATGTAGGTTACTGCTTCATTATTGTAAATATTTTATGGGCATCTGTCACAAGGCATCAGAACACATACATAAAAGCAAAATATACATGTGAAAGAAAGCCATTTCTAGGTCATTGACTCTCCACTTGGTCAAAACTGACGACTGCCTGTTTTCAGTTTCCTCAGTAGATGATATGAAGCAAAGTAGCTCATTACCATATTCATCACATGACAAAAAAGTAATTTACATCCTTTGCATAGTTTTGGTACAAAGACACAGTGTGACTTTTTAATAAAAAGGTAGAAGCTTAGTGGTGTGTGTAGAGGCTTGTCTGATGATACATGTGCTGTCCTTCCTGGGCTGACAGGCACCACTGGGGAAAAATTCAGTGGCAGGGGAAGTAATTTGCATTTTTACTTTGGCTTTTACTACATTAGATAACACTGCCATTTAAAAACTTCAACTTGACAATTGCTGTAGCCTGTCACAGTTCATGTATATGCCCATACAGATGGTGGGAATCACAGTGGTGTGGGAATATGCACAGTTAAGGTACTAAGTTCACAGCTGTGGCCTTGTTTTATTTAGCTCACCCCAGATGAGGAGACGTTCTTGTCCACAAATGCTGGTGCAGCCCTGAGCCAGTTTGAGAGAGTCTCCACTGACCTTGGTAAGTTTTCATTCTCATAACTTCCAATTTCTTTGCCTCATTGAGCACCACTTAATAGAAACATCTCCGATTCCCCTATGAAAGAAAAAATAAAAACAAAAGATTAATGCCATTAAATGTTGATACACAATTTTCTATTATGAAACTCTGATACACTGTCCATCAGGAAAAAGTAATGCAGCAAATAGTTGCAGTGCCAAATGCCCATAAAATGGCAGTGTTTTCCATCATGTTGAAAGCTGGAGTGATCTTGTCTGAAGCAGAGATACTACTCTTACAGTTAAACAAGATGCTTTTTGCAATAATTACTCTTCCCAGGAAAGCCTTTTTCTCTGCTTGTTTTAGAGGATTCAGCAATTATTGGCACACTGTCAAAATACAACTGTCAAGCATTCCTCTTTGCCATGAGTGTCATAATTCTTATCATATTGACAAGACCAAAAGTTCAGTTATAATATGCATTAAATAAGCACAACAGTTTATTCTAGTGTTACAGTTAGAACTGTGATGAAACAGCTGTGAATGGCAGGAGTGTGCCAGACTGGGACAGGGTACAAATAAACTGTCTCTGTGACCTACCTTTCATTACTGAGAGTGCAAGTGAGGTGAGAATCCTTTTGTCAAAAGGGTACTTTGTCAGAAGCTCTGTGTGTTTGTGGTGGGTTGATCTGGACTAAGCTACCAGATGCCCACCTAGTCCCTTGCTCACTTCTCAGCAGGACAGGGGGAGAAAATAACATTAAGAACTCATGGGTTGAGATAAAGGTAGTTTAGTAAAGTAAGTCAAAGGCTGTGTACAGAAGCAAAGGAAAACAAAAAGATTCATTCTCTGCTTTCTGTAAGTAGGTGATATCCAGCCACTTTTTGAGGAGTAGGGACTTGTATGTGTAGCAATTCCATCAGAAGACAAACCCCCACCTCCTCCTTCTGACTTTTTCTGCTGAGCCTGCTGCCATATGGTGTGGACCATCCCTCTGGTCACTTGGGGTCAGGTGTCCTGGCTGTGTCCCCTCCCAACCTCTTGCCCACCCCAAGTTTACTCACCTTTCAGGGTCTGGATGCTGTCCAGCTGCTCGGCAGTAGCCAAAACCATTTTAGCTACAAAGCACAGCACTAAGAGAGCAGCTATGGGGAAAGTTAACTCCATCCCATTGAGACCCAAATCAACACAACTGGTTTCAGACCTGTCAAGCCAGTATCTCTCTTTTTTTTTTAATTTTAATTTAGCTCAAGTGTTCTAGTTTTCAAAATGCAGGTTTGATTTCTTTTGATCTCAAATGCTTTGGTTGTTTTAAACTGTATATAAGGAAATTCACAATTTCTAATAATACTGAAAATGTTTTTCTCCTCTCATAGGATCAGGTGACAAAGTCTTTGCTCTGGCAAGTTTTGAAGTCGAGAAGGCAAAGCAATGAAGAGGTGCGTGAGGCTTGTGTCTCTCCAGTTATCAGCAGCACTGGACTTCTGTCATATTGCATTGGTTTTTTTCTATTTTTAACATGTTGGGGGAATAAGAAACACAAAACAAAACAGAAAAAATCCCTAAAATTCTTGGGTTCTTAACCAGAAGATATGAAGTAAACAGCCTTAAGTGCACTTTGGAACCTCATTGACTGTACTCTTTAGTCCTGTCAGCTCTGAGGCTGAACACTGAAGTGGTACTCTGAAAACAAAAGCACGGTGTGACTATCTTTGGAAAGAATCAGCTGTTTTGAACTTTTCTGAATGTGCATTTCTCTAACTATTAAAGTGTAATCTTTTTTTGCACATGATTGTAGCAAGCAGATCTTTTTCAGGAGCAGTCCTAATCAGCGCGTGGTTTTTTTGGGTGATTATTCACGTTACTCTCAAGTTGTCTTGATTTTTGTCTGGACACCCTACTAGGTAGTTTGTACTAGGAATGTACTGAGGCTTTGAAAAATTGACATAGTTTATTTGAAATGCCATCTTTCTACAAACTGTTTGCAAAAGAACCAAAATGAGACTGTATGCTGATCATTGGCCCTGAGCTAATTGTTTGCTGTGCACATGAATGAATGCTATTGTGTCCCAGCCCTGACTGACAAACAATGGAAGCCCTGTAGGGAGGCTTCTGGAGTAATTTAACCTTGTGTATTGAAATGACAGGGAGTTGCTAGGAAGTGGCAATGAGAAGTTCTTTTCTCTGACCTCTTGCTTCAGCTCTGGGTGTATCACTACATGCTACCGTTATTTCCCAGTATTGCTGAGATAGCATGAAATTGCTTGCAAGTAGAAACAAGTTTTAAAAGAGGGGAAAGCTCTCTAAGTGATTGATGCCAGTGTTGCTTAGTCTGTTTATCAGATGGTCGTGCTGTGTAGAGGGGAGTCTGAGCCTCCACAGGAAAGTTAATCCTGAATAATCTCAGGGTGTAGGAGGATTTTAAAATCTCGTATTGTTGAATTTTTAGCTCAGAGTGGGGAAAAAACTCCTTGGGACTCTAGATGTATGTTTAACTTCCTGATACACTATTTTTTGTAAAATTAATATTAGGGGTCTTGTTCTAAAGTAGTGGCTACTTCACGTTTTAAATCAGTACTCCATAGCACTTTATTTGAGCTGATTGGAAGCCTGAGAAATGTGCATTTCAGGTCTGCTCTGCCCTTGGTATATATTCAGGTGCTGATCAAATTGTATTGGCAACCAAAAAAAACCAGGAATGTCTTAATTGAAATTCATACCTGTTCCCCTTCTTATTTTACCACTTCCTAGAGAAAAGTATAGAGCTTCTTTCTGTGCAAAAAGAGTTCAAACATTAGGCTTGGGGTCCTTTGGACTATCTCTCTTAACAGCACATTAACATTTTCTTTCTTTGGAGAACTTCAACAACAGAGGAAACATGAAATTTCATTGGTACAAGGAGCATTTGGCTGTGACTGTATTGACATGCTATTATCTGGCACCCTTCAGAGTAAGTGTGACTTGCCAGGCACAGTTACAGGCAGTTCCCCCTCCCATAAGGTGGGGCAGGAATGTATCAAGAAAGCTACCGTTTTGCTGCTCTAACTCCACTAACTAACAGATTTTTTTCCTAAGTGAGAAATTTGTTCTTTCTTAAATGAGAGCAAACTACCATAAGCCAGTGCCACAGGGGTTTGCTTTAGCTCTCCAGCAAATGACATAAGAGGTTAAACACAAATCTCTACCTGTATGGCTAAGGCAGTAAGTGTATCTTCATGACAAACACATTTTGTGCTGGTTTTAGTGATTGGGATTTTTTTGGACAATGTGGTTGGACAATGTGTTTAGGCATGTTTCTGAAGTAATCTGTAAAACATGGTAACTGCTATGACAGCAAGTCTGGTGCTGGAAGGAAAAGATGGTCATAATACTGGAAAGATCAGAAGCCATAGGAAACAATTTATCTTGTTTCCATCTTGTGAGTGCTTTAAATTATAAAAATTAAGAAATAAGTGTACTGAAATGATAGTACTGATTTATTTTAGAATGAGCAGTGGTTTATAAAGCAACTTTTAATCGCAAATGTTGCGTAGATTCAGTTCCAATTGTCAGTAGTGAAGGTGACCCACTGTCTTGAGGAATCTGATGTTTAATGGAGTAGAACATCTGTGGCTTACATGTCATGTAGATGTATGTCTTAGGCTTTTATAGTTGGACCTGAGCTGCAGTGAGAACTGCCACTAAATTGAGAGTGGAGTGGAAATAGTCTTAAATTTGGGTAGCCTGCTGCTATGTTAATCGTGGTGTCACCGAGTGGTCTTTAAGTGGGTCTTAAATGAGCATGATCAGTCATAATTTAGATTGCACATAGTGGGCATAAATACCTGATAAATAAGCAAGTTTGTCTAATTGTAAACGAGGGCTGGAACAGAGTAAACCAGAAAATGTGTTTTGCTTTAGCAGCTATCCTTTTGAAATCTAGTGTTTTATAAATGAAAGGATACATGGTATAAAGAGCATAATTTGTCTTTCACTGATGGAACTTTTTCCTCTTGTTTTTTAAGAAGCTTTTCTTTAGCTGGGGTCTTTTGTCCATTATAACAGAGTTATTTTCCTGTCTGGGGCAGTATTATATTCTCTGACAAAAGGCTGATTGCAGCTGTATAGCTGAGAGCAGCTTATTAAAAGGCATTATTAGACAGCCTAAAATTATTGAAAACAAAAGAGTCCATGGGGACTGTAGCTGCCTTCTTTTCCTTTCTGCTCATTACTGGTGCTAAGTAACTCTTTTCCCCCCATGCCTCCCTAGCCTGCTTGCTGCATTAGTATGTAAATTAAATCTCTGTCCATTCCCACAGATCACAGTACGTTTACAGTACAATGATAAGGAAATATTTTTCCTTGTAGTTTTAGAGAGGTGTATGTTTCCAGGATAATTTTGTTTTTATTATTTATTTGCAAATACTCTAGGGTTTTGTCAAGCTTTCTGTACTGCAGACAGTTGTAAAATTCTTACTAAATTGATCCTTGACTGAATATCTTTTTAATGTTGTGCTCCTTCTGCTTTTGGAAAGTTCTCTCATTATTTAGATGGAATTAATACAAATATGAAGCTGTTCATACGTTGACTCTAGCAAATAGTTATTCACGTAACCTTCGTGAAGTGGTGAGATTAATTTCAGAGGCATAATTGGTTAATTGGTGTGTTGTGCTAAATAGTTTGCCAGATAATCCTGTGATTTACCTCCACTAATATCTCATGTTTTCTGCAAGGGCTGGAAAGAAGTCTATAATCTATTTATTTTAATAATCACATGTTCTTTTGTTACTAGTTTTTATTTGAGCAACTCCTAAATGAAAGCATGTTTGTCATTTAATGCACAAGCTTGTGATCTTCGAGTTCCATCCCTTTTTCAGTGTTAGACTCAGGCAGATCACTTATTCTCTACAGATGTTTCTCTCCTGGAGTAAAATACAGATTATGATACTTGAATATTGAGTGCTGTGAAGTTGTTATTGATCATACATTGCTTTGAAGATTAAGAGTGCTTTTGGTTTTGTTTATAATTTTACTTCTGAAATAAGAATTGTAAAGCACTACAAGTAACTTTAAACACATTCAGCAAAGTTGCCCAGAGTTCTCCCTTTAAAAATCTTTCTCTGTAGGCTGACTCTAGTGATTGTACTTGTCTGAAAGTGTCAGAGAGAAAACTGAAGCTTCAAATGTTCTCTCTCTTGCCTCTGTCTTTGTCTCCTTGTATTATTTCCCTTCTTTGATCTTGAATGGAAAAGTAGCAAGTTACCTTTGTCTTAAAGGAAAACTACAAGATTTCTTTAAAGAGATCCCTTAGTTCATCATGTTACCTTGCCTGTTAAATTGGTCTGGATAGAGAATTCTGTATTAATGGTACCCTACTGACCAGGCATTTAAGGCTGTGTCATTAGTGGCTGAAATGGTAGGCAAATTAAAATACTAGCATTTGGTTTTGTTTCCAGTATGGTCATTCCCTTCCTATATAAGATCAAATGTAATTTAGACATTGTAAAGCAATAAAAGTCAGCCTTCAGGCATCATTTAGTTTTCCCACTTCCATCATTTTTAAATTATCCTCACTGAGTTCTGGGGGAGCCTTTTCTGTTAGGGAAGTTTAGCTACCCTTGAGAGAGGAGTAAGAGTGCTCATACTGGAGTTTTTCTTTAGGAGGCATGGAAAATCTGACACCTTTTGCTGGGAGGTTGTAGGCTTACGAACTTCACCTTAATAGGGTTTTATGCCTGTGAAGGAGAAGGGAGCATTCCTGGCATTGATGTTGCCCAAGATTTCTCTTCCATAACTTTTAACATGACATCCGAGCTTCCCACTGCAGTCACGCAGAAGCTGCTGATGTTCAGAGTATCTGAAAAGGTCGCCTAAAGGATCTGACTCTGACAGGAAAATAAAAATGTTTCAGAATAAGTAATTTCTAAACTAAGGTCTTAAAAGGGGAAATACAGACAAAAGGTTAGTGGATTTAACTGTATGTTAGGCAATGCTGTATCATGCACTACAATGTCTACTACAATGTAACATGGTAATGTGTTAGCGATATATATAATAGCAGGTGTATTTTTAGAACAAATTCTAACAATTAACATCTCTCTTCTTCTTCTGATTATAGTAGTTTGCTGCTTGATAATGTTTAGAATCATGTTTTCAACATGCCTCCAAAAGCAGGTCAGTCATAATGGCAGATGTACTGGAAAACCTCAGACAGAGCCACCTGCAAATCCTGTGGACAGAAGTGTTAATGTCTGGGTAAATAGCTTTTCTTCTGATTGTTCAGTTAAAATCCTTGTAAGGTGGCAATTGAAATTATGTTCTGTAATGTTCACGTTAAAGAATATGGTTTGCAACTTAGTTAGGACCAAGTTTAATCTCAGAGCACTTCTGATTCTGAAAAAACTATGCAGCTGGAAGATTTCTTACTGTACAAACTAAGTCTGTGTTAACGAAGGAGACATTGTCATATCCTTTTTTACACTAAAGGGCTTTTTTTGTCCATCTGTCTAAAATATCTCTGCATATCTTCTAACTGCACAGTCTGCAGAAACATGAAGTATTGTAACTAAGGCAGCTGCTCTATTTATTTAATTTTCTAGTATCCTCTTTCTAATCTACAGAAGTTGTGCTCACCTATAGTCATGGAAATTGCAACTAACTGTTGTGATCCTACGTCACATACTGTAGTGTCCTGGGTATGTAAAGAGTTGATTTGTTGAACTATGTTTAGTTTTCAGGAAGCACTGTGCTGCTTCTTCATCAGAACATGGTTTTGATGGAATGGAATGGTTAAACTAAGTCTGAAA